GAATGCCGATCAGAGAGAGAGCAACTCAGTCATACTCAATCACACTCTCAAAAACACACAGTACTGAGCGTACTAAGCAATTCACATGAACACACCAAGACCATCCAAGAACAAGAATGAAGCACGTAACAAAGTGAGTTTGCGGCATGGCAGCAAATGACACCCGGTGCATATACCAGGCCTTGGCCCCCTCGTCGAGAATGCGATTGTAACCCAGTTTGATGTCCCTCACAGAGCAATTTATCTTCAAGGCCTCCGCAAGAGCCTGGCTGGAGCAACCCCCACGATCAAAAGATCAAGGCTCGTATCTACGAGCAGCCTGAAGCTGAGCCAACCCTGAGTCTCTTGGACAATCAGTTTCATGGCAGTCCTTAAGCATGTTAAAAAGCACATTCAAGCTAGGAAGGCCCCCACTCTGAATCCACGGGGCTATCGGCTAGCCTGGCCTTAGCTCCCTCGATGCCAATGCCGTTCCGCTCCAAATGAATGTCTCTGACGGATGTATTCACCTTTAAGACCTCTGCCAGAACCTGAACCGAGGGACACAACAAATCAGAACAGATCAAGGCTAGTAGGATATTAATAATACTCACAGCTCACATAGTCTGATCCAAAAACGAAAACACCAAATGACTTCAGAAAACGATTAAAGAAAGCCCAGTAGAAAGAAATGTGAAGACAATCGAGAATGCCGATCAGAGAGAGCAACTCAGTCATACTCAATCACACTCTCAAAAACACACAGTACTGAGCGTACTAAGCAATTCACATGAACACACCAAGACCATCCAAGAACAAGAATGAAGCACGTAACAAAGTGAGTTTGCGGCATGGCAGCAAATGACACCCGGTGCATATACCAGGCCTTGGCCCCCTCGTCGAGAATGCGATTGTAACCCAGTTTGATGTCCCTCACAGAGCAATTTATCTTCAAGGCCTTCGCAAGAGCCTGGCTGGAGCAACCCACACGATCAAAAGATCAAGGCTCGTATCTACGAGCAGCCTGAAGCTGAGCCAACCCTGAGTTTCTTGGAAACTCCCAAGGAAAGGTGTCACCCACCTAAAGCACTCCTGCGAAGCAGTAAAGGCAAATACTACACCACGGGTAGAAGCAAAATGAAGAAATCAAACCGATCCTCAGAACAGGCCCTAAACACGTCAAACTGCGTGCTCAAGCTTGGAAGGCATCCACTCCGAAACCCTTGGCAAGCCCAGCCTTAGCTCCCTGAGCACTGATGTCATTGCCTTCCATGTTGATGTCTGATACAGACATATTTGTCTCCAAGGCCTCTGAGACAGCCTGGCTTGAGCAACAGAAGCTCAGAGGAGATGGAGGCCGGCATTGGGAACCATCAAGAATAGCAGTACTTAAGAAAGCTTTGCTTTAAAAAAACTAGAAGGCTTGCAAATGCCAGCCAGCGACAGAAAGCGCCTGAATTTCACAGCACATAATTGACGGTTCAGCAGTTCAAATGCATTCATTATTATATGAACCTTCCAGGAGAAGCCGCTTCCAAGAAAAGGCATCTGTTCAAAGAAACGGATCAAACTAATCAAAGCAATTTGACTTCCGCCTCTACCAGGAATTTGCTGCTCTCGGGGTCATTGTTGTGCACTTCAAGTTTCTCCACTCGACTCAACGCCAAAGCCTGCATTGTGTGTCAGACCAAAGGTTTTAGAGCCTGCCGCCTGACACACCTTTCCACTCACAAACACAACGGAAACTCAGCACATCCCTGGCCTTGCCAAAGGCTCTTGCTTCTGCTTCGCCACATCTGAATGTCTTTAACTTCATGCTTTTCAATTTTTCATAATAGGGGAGTACGTGTGACAGAGACAAAATCTCACAGGCTGGAAGACCTTCAAGCACCAGGTGCTCACACCATGTGACTTTCTCGTGAAAGATGACTCGCTGAAGGTAAATAACGGCCTCTGCGTCAGACCTGTGGGTAAACCTGAAGTTTGGAATGAAATGCTGAGCGAAATGATGCGGCGCCGTCGGCACCCTTCCGTTCAGACCATCCTCTGCAATGTCACCCTTAGATTCATCTTTGTCAGACTTTTGCCTGTCGATCTGCTGGCGCTGAGCACTCACCCTCCTCAGCAATGACCATTCAGTCTCGGCGATACACCATCCACGCAGGCTGTACGGGGTGAGGTTCTCCACCAAATCTATCAATCGCATTGCTTTCACACTGCGGCTAGGTAATTCGAAGACTGGCACCAAATCTAGCATCGTTTCCCGATCATGCTCCGGAGTTAACGTCTCGATGGTGAAAGTCAAGGTGCACTCATGTGCAAACAGCAGATGCATGTGCTCCATAGCTTTTCTAAAACTTTGTTCTTCGTGCGAAGACAATCGCTGATACTGGAACAAACTTACATAGTCGTAGTACACCCAGATGTCTGCATCAAAGGCAGCACCATACAAACCGGCGTGGTTGACGATGTGCTGCAGCTGATACCGACACGGATCGGGATGTTCCCTAGCTTCCCAAGCGTGCGAAATCGAGCAAATGATCGCTCTCTGGCCCCCTGAGGCCCAGTTTTGTACTTCAGCATGGGTTACCAACGCCGTTTCAGTTTTGTCACCACAAATAAACAGTTCTGATTCTGTTTCTTGTCTTCTAGGGAACGGCCGCCTCGAATGAACCAAATCGACCAAGTACCTCAGTACAACTGCCTTTGAAGAATGCAAATATATGCGTTTCTGGTGGGCAGGGCAATGAATGGAATGTATGTGTTTGTGTGTGTGTGTACAGTTTACATGATTGGATTTCACCCCGTGTTTGGATTTGCCACCGTGTTGACTTCAGTTTCTAACATTTTGACGAACAAAATAGATTGGCCGCGATGATGGACATCCCTACAACTGGGGACTGAACGTGGCCCGTACCAACCGAAGATCAGCTTCTTGCAGGAATTGCGCCAAGGCCTGTGGGTCTTTCAAGCTGTACCGAGCCTTGGCACAAATTCGGAAGTTTCGCGAGACAAACAAACCACTCACCAAAAGAATTAATTTCATAAAATTTCATAAAAGAAATTTTACCCTGAGAATCCAAGTAAACCAAATATAAAAGTTGTCCCACCGAGGTACTTTTCTGACAATGCCTAAACACAAATATCGGAAAATTGTCGGGTTCTCTTTGATTAATAGCGGCAAAACGACCCAACATGTCAAAATTTGTCAGGAACTATTTTCAAGAGGCCGTGACAAACTCCTGACACCCCGTGACACCCTGAAATCCGCCCGCGCAGAAGGTCCCGAGGCGTTTTTGTGTGCCCGCGTTCTCCATCAGCAATGGCATAGTAGCTATATAAGTTTTAGCTTGGGGGGGGGGGCATTTTTCCTCTAGAATGCTGTGTTTTTGCATGTTTTTCCCGAGAGCGCCTGCGAAGGGTTCTTCGTAAAAAAGCAGAAAAAGCAGCCGTTATTATACATCTTCACACCCTCACATTTGCTGATCTACATCTTCACACCCTCACATCTGCTGATCTACATCTTCACACCCTCACATCTGCTGATCTACATCTTCACACCTTCACATCTGCTGATCTACATCTTCACACCTTCACATCTGCAGATCTACATCTTCACGCCCTCACATCTGCAGATCTACATCTTCACACCTTCACATCTGCTGATCTACATCTTCACACCTTCACATCTGCTGATCTACATCTTCACACCTTCGCCGCAACCCTTTCGCACGAAATGGACGTTGGACGTCTAAAACTGCAGGAAAATTACGATTTTGAGGTGTCAATTGTAACCCTTTCGCACGAAATGGACGTTGGACGTAAAAAACTGAGGTAAAATTGCGATTTTGGAGGAACCTCTTCCTGAAAACCTTGCTTGGGAACCAGCTTGCTGGGAACCTTGCTTTGACACCTCTTCCTTGAAACCTCTTCTGGAAATACTTGCTTGAAAACCTGTCCTGGGAACTTTATTTTGCTTGGAAAAACATGTTCCTGGAAATCTTGCTTGGGAAACTTGCTGGGAACCTTCCTTGGGAACCTCTTCCTGGAAACCTCTTCCTGGAAACACTTGCTTGAAACCCTGTTCTGGGAACCTTGTTTTGCTTGGAAAAACATGTTCCTGGAAAACTTGCTTGGGAAACGGTTCTTGGGAACCTTGAAAACGGTTCCTGAAATCCGTGCTTGCAAAACCTGCTCCTGGGAACCTTGCTTGGGAACTTGTTCCTGGGAACCTTGCTTGGGAACTTGTTCCTAGGAACCTCTTCCTGGGAACCTTGCTTGGGAACCTCTTCCTGAGAACCTTGCTTCGGAACCTCTTCCTTGGAACCCTTGCTTGGGAAGCTCTTGCTGGGAATCTTTGCTTGGGAACCTCTGAGCCTTTCTTGGAACCTCTGGGGAACCTTGCTTGGGAACCTCCTCCTGAAAACCTTGCTTGGAACCTCTTGGGAACCTTGCTTGGGAACGTTGCTTGGGAACGTTGCTTGGGAACCTCTTCCTGGGAACCTTGGGAACCTTAAGGAACTTAAGGAACTTAAGGAACCTTGGGAACCTTGGGAACCTTGGGAACCTTCGGAACCTTGAGAACCTTCGGAACTTTGGGAACCTTGGGAACTTTGGGAACCTTGGGAACCTTGGGAACCTTGGGAACCTTGGGAACCTTGGGAATGTTGGGAACCTTGGGAACCTTGCAACCCTGGGAACCTTGGGAACCTTGGGAACCTTGGGGGAATGGGTTTTGGAGCTGCTCCGGTCTGCTCCGAAACTTTTACTATGGCTGAAGACCCCAAAGCTTCTGCTGTTGGGGAAAAAAAGTTATGACCAAAGTTGAATGTTTGTTACATGGTTCAATGTTGTAGGATGAGTGTTTTTTTGTGGTGGTAGTGTGTTGGATGCTGTAGGTGGATGATCAGGAAGTTGCATTGGCTGCCAAATTGGAAGAACTTCGCGTAGGAGCTGTTTCACAAGGTGTTGAGTGGCTCCGTGGTGCTTTGTCGGAAATGTCAAGAGATGAACTTCGCGCCCTGGCTGCTGCGGGTGGTGTAGAGACCCGATGCAACAAAAAATGGCTGACTGTAGCAGAGCTGCGCAGCGCGTTGATGGAAGTCTTGGCGCCCCCAAAGGAGGTTGGGTGTGTTAAAAAAAGGGTTTAACCAAAGTTGTTTTTTGACCGAAGTTGAATGTTTGTCACATGGTGCAATGTTGTAGGATGAGTGTTTTTTGCTGGTGGCAGTGTGTTGGATGCTGTAGGTGGATGATCAGGAAGTTGCATTGGCTGCCAAATTGGAAGAACTTCACGTAGAAGCTGTTTCACAAGGTGTGGAGTGGCTCCGTCGGGCTTTGTCAGAAATATCAAGAGATGAGCTTCGCGCCCTGGCTGCTGCGGGGGGTGTGGAGACACGACCCAATAACAAGTGGCTCACTCTAGCAGAGCTGCGCAGCGCGTTGATGAAAGTCATATTGCCCCCATCGGACGCGCGGGCGTGCGAATTTTGGTTGTAATTCGAGTTTTATATGTTGTGCTCATATATCTGTTTGTATGAAGGAGATCACAATGGTATTGCGTGTTTTAAAATATTCCTTTTTGCTTGGTGCGGAATTTTCCATCATAAAGTCACATAACATGTGTCATCCGCAGCATCATGGTACCGAGCTTTTTGGGCGATGTCTGTGGGAATTTCCATGATAAAATGAGATGATATGTTTCATTCACAACATCATGGTACCGAGCTTTTGCTGTGTACTGTTGTTGGCATTTCATTAGTAAAGTGGTGTTACATGTGACAATTAAACCATCATGGTGCAGAACCTTTCTGACAATTTGTGTAATACTTTCCATGGCAACAGGGGTCATTCACAGCATCATGATACCCCGGCTGTCTTTTTTTAATGCGTGCCTTCGTTCACAAATCTTTGGTAAAGTGGTGTAACGTCATTCGCAGCATGATGGTACCGAGCTTTTGTTGCTTATTTTTGTTGACGTGTTCAGAGTGGAGTAGTGTAACATGTGTCATTCGCAGCATCATGGTACGGAGCTTTTTGTGGCGATTTGTGTGGGAATTTCCATAGTCAAACGGTACAACGCGTGCCATTCAGATCATTATATGGTACCGAGCTTTTTTGATGTAGTTTTGTTGATATGTCGAGGGTAAAGTCACGTAACATGTGGCATCTATGGCATCATGGTACCGAACTTTTGTTGTGTATTTTTGTTGACATGTTCGCTGTGCAGTATTGTAACATATGTCATTTGCAGCATCATGGTACCGAGCTTCTTGTGGCAATTTGTGTGGAAAATTCCGTAATAAAACGTTATAACGCGTGCCATTCAGATCATTATTTGGTACCGAGCTTTTGTGCTGTAGTTTTGTTGACATGTCGAGAGTAAAGTAACGTAACATGTGTCATCCACAAGCAATCGTAGATTGTCGGCGTTGCAAAAAAATCAAGTGCAGCTGTTGTGCTTTTTGAGCAGGAGCCGTGTCAAGATGATGCCATGGCGCCTGGTGCAAGTGTCTTGTGGCGCTGGCTCGAACGATGTTTGGAAAGTTCTTCGGCGCCTGATATTGCATTGCTCCGAGATGCTGTTCCAGAACAAAAAGATCGCATGCGTATATTGGCTGTTTTGGGCGACAAGACTATGGGTCAGGTGGAAGGATTGCATCTTACGCTTGCTTCTTTGGATGCTCGTGTGGTGGATGCGACTTTGCCGCTTCTTGCTACTTTCGATGGAGTGCAACAATCGTTGCCCAGCAAAGCTGTCATGGATTCTGTTGATATATTAGATTTACCGGGTTACTTCGCCTCCATTGGCGTGGAGCATTTGTTGCGGCATCAAGTGGTGGCATTGTTGTCCTGTGTTTTGCTGAGTGTATCGGAAGAAAGACGACTTGGATGGTGTCGTTTGGTGGGGTTCACCATCGAATCGGACATGTTGAAAGTGGCGAGTCGTTTGTGGGATGTTCACACACTTAAAGCTGCTTGTGAATGGGACAGTTCTGGTGGTTATGAGGATCGTGAAAATGTGGTGGAGGTGGGTGGTTGTCGAATCTATGGCGTGGTGTGGTGTTTGTTTTTCATGTCTTGCCGGTTCCCGGTGGTTTTGTCTTTGTGTTGCTTTAGGTGGTCCTTGGCATCCTATGGGGCACGAAGGCGTTTGTGATGGATGATGGCGGTGAGATGCGTCGGCGTCGAGGTAAGCTGGATGCTGCAGACGCGACGTACTTGCGATGCTTGATGCGGAGATATGGTTGGAAAAAAAATTGATAAGGAGGTGGAGGTGTGTTATTGGTCCGAATGCTTTCCATCTGCTCGCTATGGGAACAAGAAGTGTTTACACTTTGCTTGGTTTTTGCTCACGCGGTTACTGCATCCTCGCAACACGCCTGCATTGCAAGCTATGCGGTCACTTCACAATCCAGTGACGGTGCAAGAACTCCGTGATTCCAGGACGAGTGTAATTTCTGTGTCGTTATTGAATGTTTTGTATAGTTTTCTTATTTCCATGGTGGTTGTGGTTGTGGTTGTGGTTGTGGTTGTGGTTGTTGTGGTTGTGGTTGTGGTTGTGGTTGTTGTTGTTGTTGTTGTTGCTGTTGTTGTTGCTGTTGGTTGTTGGTTGTTGGTTGTGGTTGTGGTTGTGGTTGTGGTTGTGGTTGTTGTGGTTGTTGTGGTTGTTGTGGTTGTTGTGGTTGTTGTGGTTGTTGTGGTTGTTGTGGTTGTTGTTGTTGTGGTTGTTGTTGTTGTGGTGGTTGTTGTTGTTGTTGTTGTTGTTGTTGGTGTTGGTGTTGGTGTTGGTGTTGGTGTTGGTGTTGTTGTTGTTGTTGGTACAAACAAAGACTGGGGCCCTTAGAATAAGGTATTCGAGCTTATTTTGGAATTTGCTTTGTGCCCCTTAAGGGTGTCCTTGGAGTTTGGCACCGTTTTAAAAAAGAATTTTGGTGCAGACTTTTGGCTCTTTTTTTACCTCTGTAAAAGCTTCTTGGGCCCCTTTTTGTACCTTTTTGGCGTCGAAATCTGGCAAAAAGGGGTCCAGCAGGTTCGCTTTGTATC